CCCCATTGTCCTATACTAGCCACGGCGACCCTGCCATTGTTGAACAATCACCTCCCCTCTCCATGCTCCCACGACCGTCTTCGGCCGACCTATACGGTATGGGTGAGTCTGCTATTTCAGACGACGGGCACAGCCTGAACGAGATGTATTCGAAGCACACCATAAACATTCCCATGCACCCTCACTCTCCTGGTTTCGCGGAGCCTGGTCAAGGTGATCTGGATATGAGCCAGCTTGTTCAGTTCGACACTGTCGACCCGTCTAGCTTGTCTCCCGAAAGCCTTTCGCACCCGCAATGAGTTTGATAAACTAAGTCGACTCGAAAGTTTTCAATGGTTGAAACGTTGTCGCGTGTGATTGGTGTTTCTGGTCTAGTTTTACTCTCCTACTTGCGGCGTTGCGGAAACTTTATACCTCTTGCGGTTTGGTGGTTTTTCATATTCCCATCTCGAGAGTACCCTTCCGTTGGTTGTTCGGCATGAGGCCTGATTCGATTCTTGTCCCCATTTCATACGTTCTGTCGGTCTTAAAGCTCAGCATGACGATGCGTGCCTTGGACATTTGATTATGCGTGTCTGGCACAGCGATCGTACCTTCTATTATACTTGGCAGCTGCTTCGTTCCGGAGGGAAAAATCCCCTTGTCTTTTTATCTTCCAAATGGCCTCTTTCCGCTTGGATTAATACCGGAATCTCGGATCTAATTCAACTTTATCCACAATCTGCTTTGATATTTTTACAACTTATCTGGTTTTCTTTTCGCATTTATGAAAATAAGCGATGTCTTTTTCTGGCTGCAGGGCGAACAAAAACACAGATGAACATGGAAGAAGCCCAGGAGGCTCGGGTTCGCGGATAATAATTTTTAAAATATCTGCCGGGGACTAGCAGCCAGCTGGTCCGCTGGAATTTGTTGTCGGTTGGTGTGTGTACCAATTCCGAGTGTAATAATGATTGATACCTCGGGTGCGGAACGTCGGGGTTGAAAATAGTCTGGGCGCGGGTAGTATACCAGATATCGACGGCGCGAAGTCTGCGGCGAAAGCCCTGACGTCGTCCGATCTCGACTATGCTTTGTCAGGATGGATTACTTGACTAGCCCTTGTAACTCGATGAAGATGAAGAGATTCCCTGTTTGCTGTATTTCCTTGTCACGACTTTACGGCGAGGGCTATAATACATCGGAATATAGATAACGTGAATTTAACTGCATTTTAAAGTGACCCAAGTGTTTTGCTGACAGTGATGGACTACCGATTTTGATATTGAGATGTGCATTGTAATCGAATTCCTGAGGACGTCGAATGAGTCAGCTGAGCTGTGTTCTATCGTAAGAGGGTCTACCCCTTGACTAGCTCCTGTCCTATTTGAGGCTCTCGCTATCTTCGTGCTCCACAGCGTGCTTTTATTGTTCATATGTTTATTGTGTTGAATGCCTTTTATTAAACATTCTCTATTTCCCGCCGTCTATTATCTTGACGTCTGAAGGTATCGTGATTCTCTCTTTAGTATTGCAACTATATTGGTCTTCCAACCCCGTATCTTTGGTGGTTTAGGGTTAAGCCGTTATATAGAAGCTCACTAAACATCCTCTCTTATAGCAAACTGAATTATATTCACTAGAACCAGAGCAGAATTACATCTGCCTAGATGCCTTGCTATCAGGTATGTATAGGCTTTGTTTTAAGATATTTAGTATTCGGGGTGATAGTGATAAGTTCTAGGCGTGGAACAATATGAATCTAATGTGTCAGTTACTTGGATTTTAGACTTGTCTATAATAGTGCTATCTAGTTCACTTAGCTAGATTCTATTCGGAGGTGACCTACATGATCGGTAACTATATCCGATAAAGTCGTTAGGATAATAAATTAGAGGTAGCTTCGAAATACCCTATATCCGTATGGCATCCGGTTAATCGGCTTCACATTAATCTCACAATCAGTAATTGAGAACGAGTATATAATAGCCACTCGTTAGGGAACTACTTGGGGTTAACGACGGGCCTTTGCTATACTTATGGTTTATGCTTGCTGTTTAACACCTTGTGACATAGTTGAGTTATCGTGTAGTTATATTGTGGCATCTTCAAGCCTGTTATGAATAAGCTACGCTTTATAGTAGCTAGCCTTGATGGTTGTTGTATAAGAGTGAATACCTCTATCATGGCTTGAAGGCCCGTTTTCCGAACATTCGAGTGATTAGACTACAAGGTTCTTGCCTGATGTCAGCAATACGGCTTTTGAGCTTCCATAATTGTGATCAAACCACACGATAGATTACTTGGCTGCCTATAGCATATGTAGACTACGCGCAATCCACAATTCTTAGAAAACACGCGGGATTTATTGTACTCCATGCACGCACCTGCTTCGTACTCGCGTTTGCAGTGTATTGTACAAACTTTCTCTACGGTCTCGAGCTTTGGAGCACTATTAGAAAGTAAAGGTTTCACGACGGCTTCAGGTGAGATCTTAATCGATCCAGCTTGTGCGTCTCTAGTTGATATGAGGTAAGACCAGTCGCTAGGTTTGACCGCATGTTATTAGCTCAACAATAACATCTTATACGGCCGTAGATGAATAACCTTTTGAGGATCATAATAGCCTAACAACACATGATAAATTACTCCAACGGGAAACGATGGATTACTGTGCCGTAAGCAGTCTTTGGCCTCTTAGGAGATGATGTCATTAGGATTGGATTTTATATAAATAGAATTACTGGAATTACTGGAATAGGTATTACCGCAAGTTTGAGTACTTTGGGTAACGGTGATGATAGGAATATGTATATGAAAAAAAGTGCTTATATGTAAACGTGTTCATTTGTATGTTTGTTGTCTTGAGGTTCGCGATTGGATGATGCTTTTCCGCGTATATAGAACACAGCCTCTTATGAAAGAGTACGACATGTTTGAGAGCTGTCACAAAATACCTGCATCTCTAGGTTTACACTAATAATTACCTTAAGCTTTTTGAACAGGGATATATAATCTTTTGCTTAATAATGTCATGCCTGTAGTTTAAAGACAATACGAAGTGGGACGCTTCTGTCTTAATCAAGTCCGAATCGGATTGGGTTTTCGGACTGGATTTGGAGTCGATAACAGTAACACCGTTGTACAGCCGTCTATCCGTGCATCAATACATCGTGGCGCGGTGAATTGCGTGCCCCGCGTACGTATTATACATATATGAGGGGTAGATGTCGTGTATTCTGGTTAAGTTGGTTATCTCTATTGGTAATTGTGTCGTACTATCTTATAGAAGCTTTCAAATATGTTGAAGAGTAAATGGCTTAGAGCTACATAATACGTGTAGGCTCTCATTCATTGGTGTGTTTGATGATCATCCATGGTCGTCATCATGGTGTCTTAAAAGGTTGTTGGGTGGCGCAGTTATTCTGATGCTCGTTTCGCTTATACTATGCTTATACTATGTAGCATTCTGATTTACACAACTGGCCATTATCACCTCGATAGATGATCTTCTAGGCCTTCAACGTATGTATATCGTAAATGTCAAACTCATGTAATAAATTCCAAGGTCTATGTATGGTTAAATATCTTAAGAGGTAGCGGCCGTTAAGATAGGTATTCACGTACGTATCAACTACCCTAGGTACAATGCGTTGTTGCAGAGCGGGGTATCCTAGTCTTTATGGTGTTTACAAGGATTAAATAACCCCGGGTTAATCCTCAAGGGGAAAAGCTTAGCAGGACCGGGTTAAGCTAGATACGCTGGGTTGGGGCTTTGCTCTGACAGCTCCATCGTCCATCTTCCATCGTCCACAATTACACCTTTCAAGTTTTAATTTTACGACATGTCTTTAGCTTCTATAATGTAAGCATATAAGTGAAGTCGCACAATATCATCCAATAATAATCTCCATCTAGGAGGAGCGCAAAGAGGCACCAAATAAACACTTCAAGGGCGCTAGGGGATTTGTGTTTCTCTTCGTTAATGCGTTGGTCGCCCTTCTCCCGTTCGGTATCGGAGCCGGGAGCTACGGATTACACCATTGAAGTTACGTAGTACCTATGTAGGTAACCAGGATGACCAGGGTGGCTTTGTCGGTTCGTGGCTTCGTGTATTCGAGGCTTCGAGGATTCGTTATACTTTGCGGCTATGCTCTGGGCACTTCAACAACTGAAAGTGCGATTCTGTTGATCCAGGTATAGTAAGAAAAGTATTGATAGGTACGGTACCTTATGGAGGTAACGAGCGTATGACACATCTCGCTTTGTTTTTTTTTTTCCTGTTTTAGTCTCGCCGTTCCCCCCCTCTTCCCCCTTCCCCATTTTCGACTGTCCTACCGAACCGAACTATAGAACTGCTGGGTTGCAGTCATCTGTGATGAAGTACTCGTTAGCTTTCTTCGTATTTTATACCACCAACCTACATCTGTACGATCGCCCAAACAACCCTCCCCCCCATTACTTTATCTAGTCATAGTACCGACCTTCTTTTTTCCTTTTTTATCTGCGGCGACTAGACGCTCGCCTACCTTTTGAGTTTCCATTTTGCCTATTCCTATGAAATCTACGACAGAACTGGTTGGGCATTTGTATATAGCCGCCCAATCATAACCTGTCGATGAGTCCACGATCCGAGAGGCTAAGTTTTAGTTGGCTCTATTGCTGTGGAACGGACCCCCGCCGTTAAACATCACCTGAATTGTACCTGGCAGGTCTGGGCATCTAGGCGCGCCTTAGCCCGTGGCTCGGATTATATGATATGACCCGACTAGATCATGTCGAACTATGATGAACCCCCCGAGGATGCCGAAACGCCGCGGCAGCGTTACTTTCCTCTACGTCCCAGTATTAGGTCTGAAACCCCTAGGGCCCTTGACGAACGACAAGCTCTTAGCAGCTGGCGACCGGAACGAACGAATACCGATAACTCGGCGAATCGCGTACGATTTTCTACCGACATCCCCCAAGAGGAAGATCACCGTGGAATAGATGCCTCTATTTCCACTCCCTCTAATCTACCAATGGATCCCAACGGCTCTTCTGAGGCCCATGCCTCCTCGTCGAGCTCGGCCGGAACCCGAGAGGAAGGACGGCATGTGGACTATGCTCTTGATACCCCGGAAGAAAGAGAGGGACGGAAGGATGTGAAAGATAGTGGTAGGAGGAGTCAGGATAGCGAAGACAGTACCGCTTCGCTGAATCACTATGGCGCTTGGATCAATAGGCAACGAGAAAGAGCGCGGGGACCGCGAGCTAGGTTTGAAGCATTCTTTAATGATCGCTATCAAAAATGGATTATTGAAGGACTTCTGCGTCAGAAGCCTCTCCCGAAGAGCCGCGATGGTCGTCATATACCCATCAGCGGCGGTGCCGTCCGTAAGGTGCCGCTGATTGACGAACGGCGTAGTAACCACTACGTCTCGAATTTCATACGCTCTAGTCGATACACCAAGTGGTCTTTCATGCCGAAACAGCTATACTTCCAGTTTAGTAAATTGGCAAATTTTTACTTCTTGGTTATTGCTATACTGCAGTTGATACCGGGTTTGAGCACGACGGGTTCGTTCACTACTCTCATACCCTTACTCGTTTTCGTCTCTATTAGTATGGCGAAAGAAGGTTATGATGATTATAGAAGGTACGTATTGGACAAGACGGAGAATCTAGCCCCCGCGTGGGTTCTCGATCCTGATGGTACGGTCGAAAAGACGTCGAGTAAGAACTGGTTGGTAGGCTTGACCAAGAAAAACCGTAGTAAGGAGCGGGAAGAGGAAGAGGGAATGGCAGAGCTGCAAGATATGAGCGGGAATCGGGAGGAATCTCCGTGGGCGACCATCCAATGGCAAAATATTCGAGTGGGAGACATTGTTCGGCTGCGGAGAGACGATAGCGTACCTGCGGATATTGTTATCCTTCACGCGACCGGTCATAACGGAGTGGCATATATTGAAACGATGGCCCTTGACGGCGAGACAAATCTCAAGAGCAAGCAGGCCTCTTCTTTGCTTGCTAAGCATTGCGACACGATTGAAAAGTTAAAGAATTGTGAAGCTAAGATCGTATCTGAGGATCCTAATGCCGATCTGTATAAATTTGAAGGCCGTGCTACTCTCAACGGCGAGACTCGTCCGCTCACCATGAACGATGTCGTATATCGAGGATCGATTCTGCGGAATACTGACGAGTTGATCGGCTTGGTTATAAACACGGGCGAGGAATGCAAAATACGTATGAATGCGAATAAAGACGTTCGCGCAAAAGCTCCCAAGATGCAAAGTTTACTTAATAAGATCGTTTTTCTTCTTGTTTTGGTTGTCTTGGTTCTTACTATTGGCTGCATGGCTGGCTATTATGGGTGGCGGAATGACTACGAGATACATGCTCCGTATCTTCATGGTGCTGGCGTACCATTTGAGCAAATATGGTTCGGTTTCATTATTGCCTTCAATACCCTCATCCCATTATCCCTGTATGTAAGTCTCGAGATCATCAAGGTCGGGCAATTTTTTCTGCTAGGTGATGTGGAGATGTACGATCCCGAAACCGATACGCCTATGGTTGTCAATACGACCACCATCTTAGAAAACCTGGGCCAGGTCAACTATATCTTCTCCGACAAAACTGGGACTCTGACAGAGAACAAGATGCGATTTCGGAAGCTCAGCGTTGCAGGGACGGCTTGGTTACATGACATGGATATCAAGCGAGATCAGCTAGCATACGAGGCAAAGATATCCAAGATGAATATTAAGAATCCAAACCGGCGTATCAACGGAGAACCAGAGACGAATGCGATACCCGATAGAGATGAACGTATCGAGACTCCGCTGATTAATAACCAGGATCAGTCTTCTTGGGCATCAAAAACTCTGTCGGGACATTCTCCGCCTATACCCAAGACGGAAGCCTTGATCGAGTATATTCGACGAAACCCGAATACGACCTTTTCAAAAAAGGCCCGGCATTTTCTCCTCTGCGTGGCACTATGTCATACTTGCTTGCCGGAAGTCAAAGAGGACGGTGAAATAGCTTTCCAAGCTGCGTCCCCTGACGAACTCGCTTTGGTACAGGCTGCTCGCGATCTAGGTTACCTCCTCATTGATCGACCAACGCAGTCTATCAAGCTCCAGCATCAAAGCCCCGAAGGAGAGCTTCTCACCGAGACGTACGAGGTACTGGACGTGATCGAGTTCAGCAGTAAACGGAAGCGAATGTCAATCATCATACGCATGCCTGATAACAAAATCTGCGTATTTTGTAAGGGCGCCGATAATGTCATCATCGCCCTTTTGCGAAATGCGCTCCTAGCTAAACAGAAAGCCTCCACTGTGGAACGAAGAGCTAGCAAACGGAAAAGCGTAGAAGTTGAGAGGGCTATGAGTCGTCTAAGCGGGACGTATAGTCCTAGGAATAGTCTAAGCTTAAATAAGCGTAGTAGTGTCTTTCGAAAAGGCAGTCGACGTAAATCCGTCGAAGCGAATCGCCGCTCGGCCGTTTCGGATGACCTCGACACTTGGCTGACGAGGCGTGAGACGTTGGATTTAGAGGATGCACCAATATACGATATGGATGCTGGTACTCCCCGACAGTCTATAGCTCTCTCTCCCGTATTAGTTACGGGAGATAGCGAGGTTTACGATGGAGTTGTGGACGAGGTTATAGCCGCCGACGACGGTGCTATCTTTGAGAGGTGCTTCCAGCACATTGGCGAATTTGCTTCAGAAGGCTTGAGAACCCTCCTTTTTGCTTATCGTTACATCAGTGACGAGGAGTACGAGGAGTGGAAGGGTAACTATAGAGCCGCTACTACGAGCCTGGTGAATAGGCAATCACGCATCGAGAAAGCGGCCGAACTTATCGAGAATGATTTCAGTCTTGCCGGTGCTTCTGCCATCGAAGACAAACTCCAACAGGGAGTTCCTGAGACAATTGAAAAGCTTCGTAGGGCAAATATCAAGGTTTGGATGTTGACTGGGGACAAACGCGAAACGGCAATCAATATTGCGCATTCGGCAAGGTTGGCTAAGCCCTTTTCTGAAATCTACATCCTCGAGGCCTCCACGGACGAGCCGGAAGAGTCGAAAGTGTTGAGTAAATTGAAGCAGAAGATTAAGTCCATCTTGGTCGATGTCACTCGTGGTACGATAGCTCATTCCGTCTTGGTCGTCGACGGACACACCTTAGGTGAGATTGAAAAGGGCGAAACTTTGAAAATAATGTTTTACGATCTCGCCGTTCGTATGGATTCTGTCATCTGCTGCCGAGCTTCACCGTCTCAAAAAGCAGGGTTGGTACGATGCATCCGGGAAACGGTACCATCCTCTTTGACATTAGCCATCGGTGACGGATCAAACGATATTGCCATGATCCAAGAATCCCACGTAGGAATAGGCATATCTGGCCGCGAAGGTCTCCAGGCCGCCCGCGTTGCTGATTATTCTATCGCTCAATTCAGATTCCTTCAACGACTTCTTCTCGTCCACGGCCGATGGATGTACTTGCGCACTGCAAAATACATACTTGCAACGTTCTGGAAAGAGCTGGTATTTTACATCATTCAAGCCCAGTATCAACGTTGGAACGGCTATACGGGTACGTCGATCTACGAGTCGTGGAGTTTAACTGTGTTTAACGCACTCTTTACATCTCTACCTGTCATCCTGCTCGGTATGTTCGAGAAAGATCTCAAGGCGGAGACCTTACTCGCTATCCCCGAGCTCTATTCGTTTGGTCAGCGGAGCGAGGCGTTCAACCTCAAGAAGTATGTGATGTGGATGTTTACGGGCGCGGTAGACACGGTCGTCATCTATATGATGGTCTGGGGCTACTTCAAAGATATTCTGTTCACGGAGGGTAATTCGCTCTTCCCTCTCGGACAGCTAGCATTTACCATTGCCGTGGTATTAATCAATATCAAGATTCTGTAAGTTGTTAAGTACTCAGCTGATTTACTCTCTTTTTTTCTAACGAATTGCAATTTAGGATATTGGAATGCCATCACAAAACGGTAATCACATTCGTCGGATTTGCCCTTTCAATCATAGGTTGGTTTCTCTGGAATTTACTTATTGGAGCAATTCATCCAGTGGAATTTGGTCCGTACGTTGTGCGCGGCTCTTTTGTGAACGAGTTCGGGAATAAGCTGGGTTGGTGGGCGGCAGCCGGTGCTACGATAGCTGCCGTAGTTGCGTTCGAACTTGGCCTTACGGCTTTTCAACGAATATACTACCCGCGAGACCAAGATATCTGGCAAGAGATCGAGCGCCAGGGGGGAGTTTCGGAAGTGTTGAAAGAACACGCGGCTGAGGAGGGTCGCGTAGCCTCTCCTTTGGGAGATCCGGAAGGCCAAATCAGTAACAATGATGCCGATTTCGAGCAGGGGCGGCCTCTAAGCCCTATTGTAAGCGAAGGTGCATCGAACAGGAATAGATTTTACGACTTATTTACGTCGTCCAGCTCAGCGCAGCGAAGTCGAAGACCCCCGGGTAGCGTTGGTGCGTATGGGTCGGCGATTCATAAAGGGAAACGAGTACAGACGGCATGATTAGAAAGGATTAGTTGAAAGCGTTTTTTTTTGTTGTTAAGAGATTAGCGGACGAGTCCTATAAGGTTGTTTTCTTGGATTGGGCCAGCCGGCGTTTAGGCTTGAAAAGGGGAAGTTTCTAGCATCGTAGCATATGGATTGCAATAGGGTCATTGGCCGGAACAAAGCAAGGCGGGTTTTTGGCTTAGACTATAGATACCCCCGGAAGCGATAAGAGAAGAGGTACGTGTATTAAATATACGGAATATTTACTACTGGCTTTTCTTTATCTTGCATGACTTGTAGATTTGCTTTGGTAGGTACAGACCATAACTTGTATGCTGATGACCATTACGAGACAATACCAAGGTGGAAATTGTATAGAGGATTCGGCTTAACGGGGTAGTGAAGAGTGATTGGTCTTTAAACATCTCTATTACTTTACTGGGCATTTCCATGCACGTTGAGGAATTCAATCTTGCGAGCTGAGACAGGCGTGCTCGAACCAATAAGCTGAAAGCGAATACGAGTATAAAATCTACTGTGAATAGAGTGGGACTATCGGATAAGTGGATCGACTAGGGTCTGAATACTTACTAGCCTTTAGATCCTTAGATGTATCGAAGAAACGGAGGGGTCTCCACGATATATGAGTTTGGTTGGGATATATTCTACTCAGTTTTCGGCGGTGTGGAACAGGAAACGGGATCTGTACTTTTGGTGGGATCTTGGTAACTGTTGGTTGAGCTGGGGAATACATGGATCCGAAGATGAATCTTGATGGGAAGCCTGGGATATGAAGCGTCGTTAGTGAATGGCAGAAATAGTATTTGGTGTTTTCATTCTTGTCATAATATAATATTTTGGTCCCCTGTTTTTGCTATGTCCCACTGGGGGTAGCTACATAGCTTATTGAATGTTGCTATTAGGCTCGTCTAGCGATATTTCGCTTTGTAGATGAGGCCTTTTTAGTGACAACAGGGGTTCGTGTCAGGGGTTGCATTACCGGTATCTGTATGTTACAGCCTTTGATACCCATCTAAGCTTTTCAATCCTCCTCTTCTGTTTCAATTAACTTGGATATTCCCTACTTATACTGATGTCTATAAATTTAGTCTTCTTGATATAATACAGCGCATGAAGTACGGGAATGGCAATTCAGAAGACTACAGGGTTTGAGGCCCTTCCTCCAAAGAACTATGGAGCTCGAAGGCCCCGTCAGGATGAGACTACCATACAGAAACCTCATCCACCTACAACAAGCAAGCAACAAAATGAGAAGTTGATACGACTTTTAGAATGGGAGCATCTTCGTAAGTTTTCAGCGCATACAGAATATGAGATTGAAGTTAGGTACGTTACTAACTCGACCATACAGCTCCCTGGAAGCAGTAAGTGACCTGTGTCGGAATCACAGGGGCTAGTGCTTACTTTCCATGAAATCAGGCGCGGTTGTGAGCACCTACGGACTGGATATCGACCGGAGTGTGCTTCGTTATGGTCGTGCCTGCATAGCTGGTTCTATTTACATAATGAGACAGGTCTGGCGGCTGACCTAGTAGAAACTGGTGTCATTGCTGATAGATAGCAGTTAATATTCTCACTCACGTAGTCGGCGCGGTTATTTTCCTTGCTTTACCCCTATACGTCTTTAGGACTGAGATCCCACCACGCTATAAAGTGGCGACTACGGCCGATATCATAGTTTGCAGTATATACTTCCTAGGGGTAGGCGTCTGCTTTACGCTCTCGACTATGTTAGTCTACTCGCGAACAGTATGTGAGGATAAAACACCTAACACGAGTTTAGGTTCCACACTTTCATGTGCCATAGCGAAGCCGCGTACTCCCTTGGTGTCAAGCTGGATTATCAAGGAATCATACTGCTGATATGGGGAGCAAATATAGCTCTTATTTATTATAGCATGCCTTGCGACTGGGGAAGTAAGATCGCCTATTGGACCTTTAACACCATCCTCGCTGGACTATGTTCGTATGCGACGTTCCACCCTTCGATAGGCGGAGCGCAAACGGGACATGCGCGTGCTGTACTCTTTGCTACGTTTGGGTTTTGCGCGGTTGTCGCTCCGAACTTAATCGGGCTATTGAAACACGGGTTCGATGAACAGAGTCGTCGGGTTGGGCTTAATTGGATAGCGGCTACGACTTTGTTTAATGGTACGGGTGTAGTGGTATACGCCGCCAAGGTTAGTAGCAGTTTGCGTTAAGAGGTGATTGATCATTAACAGATATGTAGTTCCCGGAACGATGGTATCCTCGAGTGTTTGATATATTCGGTGCGAGTCACCAGATCATGCATATTATGGCAGTATCGGCAGCCCTTGCATTTGCGAAGGCTATGTTGCAAGCCTTTGATCTTCACCACCAAAACCCCCGAATATGTACGGGGGATGCATCTCATTATCTAACGTAGATCTGCCATGTTACTATATATGATGCTTATGAGGCCAACCTAAAGTCCAACCTCTTGTTCCCGACATCTTGGTGGTCGGCAAGATAGACCAGCTTTTCCTCAGGAGTCATAGCATCCCATTTGCGTTCCCTTACGCGATTCCTCCAGATATAATATACCTTTGCTAGAACATAGAGCACTAAATTCAGACACAAGATACCGATTAATATGCTATTTCCTCTCCTGTATAGTGGTGCGTCATCTGCTCGGTAGATGTTGGAAGAAATGATTACTCCTGCTTGAAGGAACATATTGTATAAGGCGACTCCCAAAGTCCTTGATCGGACAGCATTCGAGTTTCGGGATACCCATCCGACTTGTACTGGATGACCTATAGAGAATGAGTACGTTCTAATACTTGTATTAAGGGGTAGGAGGTAGGGGGAAGGGGGGGGGGGGGGTTATCTACCTAGAGGTGCTGCTAGCAATAATGAAATCATGGCCCATGTTAACCACTTCGACACTGCAGTCGTATCTACGACGCGTAAGTATATTAAGAAAGGTAGACACCAGAACTGGAAGATTGATGCGCATGCTGCAAGTTGTCCCGTGTATTCTGCAAGCGTAGCTAATGCCATCATGTTGAAGACTAAGATATTAGCAGGGGTTCTTTAAAGGGGTTGAGATGGTTCTCCTACTCTTTAAGACTAGGTATGGGATTGATAGGAGATTTGTCTGGAATGTATCGAAGCCGAGACCTCGTAAGGAAAGGCTAAGATATTGTTGCGGCGAGAACGTTGGGATGTTGAAGGTAAGTCCAATGCCGTAGAGTGGCCTAATTCATGTCAGTAATATACTACATCCTGCTGGACATAGCTTCTTACCAGAGGTCAACATCTGTCAAGCTCTTCCATAGTAATTTTGGAGTGATGGGCTGTCGATTATGCATTGTACCTTTGCTTGGGTCGTCTCTAATAATTCGATTTACCATGATGGTCTCCTCGCTGATAGATATCAGTATCCTCTGATCCTTCGCTAGTTAATAAGAGGTAGTGGGTGCCTATTCCATACCGTGGTGTAAACCAGCCATCCTTTCCTCTTGACCAACTTGATGTTTGAGTCGGACCCGGTGGCATCATGACATAAGATAATAATCCAATAGTCCCAGTTATGAGTCCCTTACTACATATTAGTTCGTGTTTTAGATTAGAAGAATTTAATCTCACCTCAATCAAAAAAAGCCATCGCCAGCCCGAACGACCCTCTACGCCCCGCATATGAAGTAACCCAAACGCAATTATAGCAGCGAGGATATCCGCTATGAACATGCCACTCCAAAAGAAGCCCAGACGTATAGTAAGTTCGTGATGTTTGTAAAAGTACGAGAGATAAAGTACGCACTACTCGCCGATGTTCTTTAGTTGAAGTACATAGCTCTCAAACAGGCGGTAACATACCTCCGGGATAAACCCTCCTTGTAGAAGAGCCAATAGAGCGCGGCACGTAAGAAAAGATGCGCGGCCGTTAAGGGCGAACTGAGATGCAGATACAACCGAAAAGAGTACAATTTGGGATGGAACCCATCGATCAGGTCCAAGCCATTTCGCTAGGAGTTGTGCAGGGAATTCTCCAGCTAGAAAGAACAGCGCGTATAGGGTATTTCCCAAGTTGTAGTCTTTCGACATCAGTCCTAGAAATCACTTCAAGCGTATACAGAACAAGGTTACATACCGTTTGTGCTTAGGTTGAGATCATCTAGGAAGTTGTCGGTTAGGGATTGCGCCAGGTTAGCCCTATCTAATTCCATGGCCGTGAACATTATTGCTGTCCAGGTCATAATGCGCCAGTCAATCTTCCGGACGACTTTATTTTCTTCTCTCCAAGTCCATCTTGCTCTCGTATCAAACCGATGTAAGTTTTCCCTATATCTTGTCAACGAGAACTTAGATTTAACTGAAAGGTTCTGTTACCAATCATCACGAGGCTTATACTGAAGTGCCACATCGGGGTTGTCGTAGACGCTCGGCTGTTTTTATTAGTATTTGCGGTCGTTCAAGACTATGTTATATTTATACCTGAGTCGCAACATCGTCGAGGTTATGCTGTTTCGCCTTCTGAAACCATAGCTTTGTGACCTCGGGATTGCCTAGCTGAGGAACTGCTTCTGCTATTCTCTCTTCACTGGGTCCAAGTTCGGCATCGTCGGCTAAGATTGACTTTTCAGATATCTGTACTGGGATAACGGTAGCCATTATAAGTTTGAGGCTCGAAGCTGATAGTCAGAAGCTCTCGATGTAAGACCGATATCTGAGTACATGGATATAGGAATTTTGATTAAGAACTACCCCGGATTCATATGTACCCCAATACTACGTTACCGCTCAGCCAACTTAACTCGGAGATACATCAGAAACTCCATTACCCATTCTGGAGCCGAGGCTGTGCCGCCTTGAGAGCCGATAAAAGAGTTAAGTTGTTCAATATCGACTATCGAGTATTGACAGCATTACCCAACGCATCTGACTTTCAGACCTTAGTAGAAAGTGAGATGGCCGCCCTGTTACCCATAGCAAGCAACTATTCATCAATATAGCAGTATATCGCACGCTGTCAGCATCCTAGGTATATAAGAATGCGGGGTAAAGGGGCAAGATCCGGCAGAGGTAAATAGCTGCAGGTTGGTTACTTGCTGTGCCGCATACAGCTATATCTTTCCTTATTCATTATACTGAGATCCGAAAGAGTGTCAACATACCCTAGCTCTTATACTTGTCACAATTATAATATTCTAAGAGCTGATGAGAGCATATGATCAACTTGTCGGATGGTAGTTGAAGAACGCCTGACATACATCATTCGGGCAATTCTAATTTAACCCAGAGCCTGGATAGTAACTATGAAAATATTGACTTCTCTCTTTCTTCCATATTTGGCCTATGGAACAGCAACATTTGGACCGGCCAATCAAAAACCAATAACCCTTACAGATGGCTGGACTGGACAATCAAGATCACGACCTAATATTGTATTCATTCTCACTGATGACCAAGACTTACATTTGAACTCGGTTGAGTATATGCCATTCTTAAAAAAACATCTAATTGAGCAAGGTACTTTCTATAAGAGACACTTCTGCACGACTGCGCTCTGCTGTCCCTCTCGCACGACTATATTCACCGGTAAAAACGCCCATAACACGAATGTTACCAATGTAGTTCCGCCATACGGTATGAAAACTTAGACCAGAGTCCCAGACCATGCTAACGAGTAATAGGCGGTTACCCTAAGTTTGTTAGTCAAGGGTTGAATGATAACTATCTTCCAGTCTGGCTTCAGGAGTCGGGCTATGAAACATATTATACGGGAAAGCTTTTTAATGCACACTCGGTTGATAATTACCATTCGCCTCATGCTGCTGGCTGGACTGCTTCTGTAAGTTCCAATGTTTGGTCGTAATCGTTGGATCGTGTGCTAATTATTAAAGGACTTTCTATTGGATCCATTCACATATTGGTATATGAATAGTACATATCAGAGGAACCAGGACCCGCCAGTGAGCTTTGAAGGACAACATAGTGTTGATGTCCTCGCAGCTAAAGCACTGGGGCTATTGGATGAAGCATTCGAAACTGGGAGGCCGTTCTTTCTTGGTGTTGCTCCAGTCAGTCCTCATGCAAATATATGGGCTCCTAATTTTAAGGATGGTGGTCATGGTGATTTAGAGAAGGTCGAGTTTTCACCCCCGGTGCCAGCTAAGAGGCATGCCAACCTATTCAAAGGTGCCAAGGTCCCGCGGACTGATAATTTCAACCCGGATAAACCATCAGGTGCCAGTTGGATTCGGAAGTTACCAAAACAGAGCCAGGAAACGGTCGACTATAACGATTACTTCTATCTCCAGAGACTCCGAACCCTCCAAAGCGTCGACGAAATTGTAGACTCGCTTGTCCGACGTCTAGACGACCTCAAAATCCTAGATAATACGTATATAATCTACTCGACAGATAATGGCTATCACATCGGCCAGCATAGGATGCAACCAGCAAAGCAGTGCAGTTTTGAAGAAGACGTCAATATTCCGCTTATCATTCGGGGACCTGGAGTTCCAAAAAACGTGAGCAGCGATATCGTAACTGCTCATACCGATTTAGCACCTACCTTTTTAGAAATAGCAGGCGTTCCTATGAGGGATGATTTCGATGGACTTGCCATCCCGCTTACCGAAGAAAGTCTCACGGAAGCTAAGGAGACTCGTCATGAGCATACTTCAATAGAACACTGGGGATTCGCCTCAAATGAGGGGCAGGTACTCGATTCGTACCCGAGACTACATACAAATAACACTTATAAAGCTCTTCGTGTTATTAGCAAGACGTACAACCTACATTACCAGGTGTGGTGCAACAACGAGCGAGAGCTACACGACCTAACCACAGATCCAGGCCAGATGATCAATCTCCTACACCCCGACGAAGACGCCCCCGAAACCATAGCTGGAGCGCCCCTCGAGAAAGTCGTTGCTAGACTGGACTCTTTACTATTTGTCTTGAAGTCGTGCAAGGCAGAGACCTGTATCTATCCATGGAAGGCACTTCATCCGGCTGGTAATGTTGCCAGTCTGGAAGATGCGCTTTCCCCGCGGTTCGACGCCTTCTATGATGACAAGTCGAGAAAGATCGAGTTTGATAGGTGCGAGATGGGTTTCATACTTGATGCTGAGGGGCCACAGTTCGAGGGCAAGAGTATTCTCTCTAGTTTTGATCCGAACTGGCATGAGTGGACCTAGTTTTTTGAGTAATACGAAGGTCTATCCAGAACTTGATGAATGAGACGGCGTTAACCGTGTCTTGCGGGCATTAATAAGGGGAAGATAAGTGGCATTCATAATCGATTATTACGATGAATAACATATACTAGATCGAGAGGCATAACGGGGTATATAACAGTGTAATCATTAATCGTTCCTAGAAGTGTTCCTAGTAGTATTTAGAGAATGAAGTAGTCGTGACCTGTCACCGACTTAATTTTTACTAGATTAAAATTATACTCCTAAATTGTATACTTGAAATAATCGTTGTTTCAGTCATTGAGCCCTTGTTTACACCATGGTGGTGGCCAGGGTTAAGAGAAGTCCCAGCTTGTCGCAGTTTGCATACCATCTGTTCAGCTCATGCCCGCGGTCTGAGTTATGAGGACATAATCGAGCATCTATTAGATCTCCAAATGTCCGCAGCGACGAGTTATTCCGTTCAAGATGAATCACGCGGGCATTTTCCCACTGCGCTCGTGTCCTAGCACTCCAAAGCGAGTCCGGGGAAGGAAGCGGGAGCGCGCGGTAATTGCTGATGCTGGGGCACATAACCCCAAACTTGAGGTCTATCACGCGACTCAAGAGGAACCAAGTAACGGCACATCTAAATAAAAATCAGAAGACGTCGGAAATCATCGGAGAAGGTTAGCTAAACATACCTTCGCCGCGACTCGGTATAAACCCACTCTTCCCAAGTCACGCCAGGATTATCAAAGTCGCTGACGGGGAACCATACCATCGAATCGAATTCTTTACTCCTTTTCCCATAAAGCTGTTTAAATCAGCACGCAGACTTCATACATAGGAGCCATAACGTACGTCAAAGGTCATGAGCATCTGTAAACGTATCTCGGGCACTTCTGGCGTGGCAGCGTTATCCAGAGCAAACATGATCATATATATAATCTGCGCGTGCATCGACGAGATGAGATCGTTCAGCGAGCATGTTGGTAAGATGCGGAGAAGCTTCCGGTTTTCTTCATTTATCAACGCCCATACGGATTGTTTCACGGGGTCTTGATGCCTATTATGTAGATTCACTAGTGCTGAACATTGGGCGATGTCGCGAGGAAGCTCAGATTGAAACCAATAGCCGTGACTATACCACGAGAAGCTCTCCCTACTGAGCATCGTCAGGGGCAGTCCTCTCATGGTTTCCAAGATGAACTTGGCGCTATGCCAGGCAACCGGGTCAGTACGAAGCTCGATCAAGGACCGAGGCGACGTAATAGGTAGCTCGAGGCTCGTCGAAGCGCCGAAGGTATATGTGAGCGAATTGCATTCTTCATTATCATAATTATCTGTCGATTCAGATACGGTATTACTGGTGCTGTTTTTAGCGCCAGAGCCAACGCCAGGGCCGGCACCAGGACCACGCGAAGGAGTAAAGGAGGTCTCGTAGACACAATGTAGACCTTTAACCTTGCAACGCGAACACTCGGTCTCGAAACTACACTTTGCTTTTGCGGAGTGACATTCTTTACAAGAGCGAGGTCGTTTCTTAGGACGACTTTGAGCCCTGCGGCAGTAGGCGATATGCCGCTTATAAGCGGATTCTAATAGGGGGATATAATCAATATCACATTCCGGTCGAAGTTAAAGGAGAAATCAGCTAACCTGTAGCGATGGGTTTATTACATAAATTGCAGAAATGTATTGAATCTAACGGTGTGGCGTTGACTGACATTTTGAAATACTAAAGAGGTTTACGATGAAAGGTTTATATTCATAAGCAGCGCTGTTCATACTTAGAAGTTATCAAAGTTATTAATAGGTTTACACCTCCGATGATTAATTTGTCAGCATCGCCGTGTCTCCACTTAATTCCGGCAGTGTGGTTGGTATTAGATTACGCCGTTACAGGTACCTAAGGTTACCTAAGGTTACCTAAGTAAATACCTAGGTACTTAAGCCTGGCTATAAGAATCTTTACCGATACAACATTCTTCTACCACATCTCGTCCTGGACTTGTTGTTCTGGCTTCACCTTCGACGCCCGAAATTAGAGAGCGCTCGGCTGGATTTTGTATGCAACCAGCGTCTCCCTTTGACGGGAAACCAGAAGACTGTTTTACGCGTACATCGATGCATCTCTCGTTTACAGAGTGGACGTCTCCTCTACTACAGTCACTAGGATGTTAAATGTTATTTGGTGGAGATGTTACTTGAAGCAGTTAATAAGTATCGTATTGCCTTATTTATATGGCAAGATACAAACCCATTCGAAGATTCTAGCATAAGTTTTACTTGAATAGGTAATTTTGGATGGTAAAAGTCTTCCCAAAATCAGGAGACATATTCACAATTGTATTTTGCCATAATATTTCGAATGTCCTGATACTTTGCTCTTTCAAGTAACATCTCCACCAAATAACATTTAACATCCTAGTGACCTATATATCAGGAGTCTTACGGGAAAAGGAGTATGGGTGCCGACATCGTAGAAGCAGTTGTTCAGGTTAGAGATGCTGGAAAATGGATAGCCGACGTCGACATTCGAGCTGCACTCAATAGCCATCTTATCCGACGCCCTTCCGATTTGCCTCCGTGCCATCACGAAGATTCAGATAAATCGTTCGGGAATTGGATGGCTCTTGAAACCTGGGACCAAGTAATCAATGCGCCTGAAAGTGTTATCATTACCAAGTCTCATAAGAACTGGGTTGCTCGGCTTGCTCTGGCTGCTGTGATAGTTCAACACGGTAAAGTGAAGGATAAACAGGTCTTTATCAGCCCTCCTAATTTTTGTGGACGTTGCATCGCCGAGAGTGCTATACTCACGCGAAATACTTGTATTATTAATCAGTGTAAGTGGTTGGAACTTGAAGACATGGTATCATAACCTCGAACGATTAGAACAAGAGTCGTGCTTGATGAAGCTAAAGAACGACGATTCGATCGTTTGATCGTTTGATACCCCTCACAGTGTGATTTACATCTTCCAAACACCCCAGCTCCCATCTGTGCCCAAACAAAGCATAAGAACAGGTGCCTTGGCAGCTTGGTTCTTGGTAGGTTAAAGAAGACATAAGAGGTTCTCGTTGAGAGCTGTTACTACAATATAGTCTTGTTTTAGTAGATCTTTGCAATTCAATCATTCCTCTACAATCTTTTGTAGTCTTAATTCCTACCCGTCACGTCTTTTCTTACCATACGCGTGCCTAACATCCTCGAAGCAGGGATTCAAGGCGTTTGCTGGTCAATTGACAAGTCAACGAGCAGAAATGCAATAGAAATGCAGCAGGCTGGGACGGAACTGTTCGACCAGCGCAGCCCTACCTATAATACTTCATTAATCATGCTGTCGTGACGTAATATAGTCCAAATCTTCAGCCTCATTCGTCGGCATTGGCCCTGTCAAAGCTTCAAACTCTTAGCGGCCAGATCTACCGCGCGTTAGCGCCCAGAAACTTGCGGTCAAGTACACCTTTCTAGGTCTTTAATAGGTTCCTTAACAAACCCCCTGCAGGCTTCAAATTCAAGAAATGGAGTCGACGGTTGACGTGTAAGTCACATAACCTAAATATCAAAGACGCAAGCCAGCCTGCAGTGCCGTGATCCGATCTGAGAACTCATATATTAAGGCCTCGCTGCTCTTATCCCTTTACCGCTAAATCTCTTGTCAATCCTTAGATCTTCTTGGAAATCTACTTGGTGCCACTTAACGATCAAACGGCAATACTTCTACCAATCCAGTTTCATCCGATAGCATAGCTACCTACTCATTAGCAATGGCTCGAACTAACGGATCAGGATTTGGGCTACCTCCCTTCTTCCTCATTAGCAATGCATTAATTTGGATTTCGGCCGTCATTGTTATGGGAATTATCTCCTACTTCATCTCTCTAAACAACTATGTTTCTGGTCATATCATTTACGAAGAAGTTATCGTAAGTCCTAGTAATCTTAATAATAACTCTTGATACAAATCAGCTAACTTGAAACTCAATAGTCTGTTCTTACCGTTGCCTTCTTCTTGGTCTCTTTCATCATCGGCTCCTATCCGGGTTCTATTCTTATATTCAACGTCATATTCTCCTACCTCTGGCTAGTCGCCGTTGTCTTTACGGCTGAGGATTGGTCATCCGACTATGCTGGCGAGCTTGCTCATACCGTCGAGGCCTTTAGCTTTATCGCCTTGTATGTATCACATTCGAAGTTACGTCTAAATCATTACTGACTTATAACCTAGCTTCTTCCTATTCTTCAATGTTATCTTCGACTGGCACTACGGCTTCCGTGGGCACGTACGCAGCACCTCGGCTGTGTAATGAATTAATGCAAAGGGTTAATGAGATATGAAAAAGAATTTGTGCATGATTTATGGGATCGAGTTGGCAAGTCTTGCGATGAGAGTTACATGTTCAGGATAGGAAAAGCAGGCGTATTCTAAGCAGTTGATTACACGACATAATGACTTTACAAGTATGAATACCCAAGTAATAAATACTATAGATACTTGGTTCTGAGAAACAACAAACGTTTCCGGTGTTGTAGTTGAAACAGATCTATACGAAGCTCAAAGTTGACGATTACTATAGACTATAACGTCTATGCTAATGAGTGAGTCAAGCAAATACACATCATAATCCATACTAAATGGTTTAAAACAAATTATTTTATTATTTTCATAAATGTCCAAAGTTATCATGGTACGCAAAGACTATTTGAATCTATATATCGTCCTCGCATACTTCTGAGCGTTCTACCTCCCTGAGTAGGAGATGCTACTTCTTCAGTCCAATGTACATTGCACTTAACAGGGCTTGCAGGAATAGGCTTATGAAGAAACTCGGGTACTTCAATACAAGGAACCCTTTTCGCACCCAAGTCTTGAATAGGGGGGCAGGCATAGTGTAATCCGACGTTGATTCGTTTCTCGCCGCGGTATTTATAACGAGATTGTACCCGCCTATCAACGTGCGGGAAGTCCAAATCGTAGGTCTCTGACCATAAGCCACCTTTACGTTTCTCCTCTCGAACTCTCTCGTCAACTTCCACGACATAGGAGACAGCTTTTTCTGAAGCTTTACGATCAGCGGGGCTGGTGCCAAGCGTTTTGGACGCAAGGCGATACGAATCTTGAGCCTCTTGATATCTCTTCATAATCCATAGGGCATGGCCCTTGTAAAGGTAACAGGTCGCAAGAGGAGGAAACTCACAGGCATCTGGGTCGTTTGCGATGATTAAGGCATCTTGTACCGCAGTGAAAGCATCCTCGAGGTAGTGTTCGGATGGGTTCTTCCGGTAGTTGTTAAGCAGAGCGCGGCATTCCCGAAGGAGCGAATTTATGTGATCCTTATTCTTGACCTTCTCAGTTACGGTTATGCCAAAGGCTGGCATCTTTATGTTAGATGCAGCCATATCTCTAGAGTTAATAGTATTTTGTATCAGTGAGTGGTATATTAGAATTCAGGTATTAGCTGAATCGGATTGGTTGGCATCTAAATATCGAATTAATAGCATTGTTCTGAAAATCTATCTTCTTCCATTGTTTCAATAGTCAACAATGTCTCTTTCATAATCTAAATCGAGACTACGAGAAACAAATAAAGACGAATAAAAGAAGAACGGAATTTTCTAGTCATGATTCGTGTCCCCGTATCCTATGTTAATTTCCCTATCCTTTTTGAGCTCGATCTTTCTAACGAATGCAATCTCACAGCATCTCCAAAGGGATTGTTTGTTGCGAGCGAACTGAGGAAGAATACCAAAAAAAAAAACTTCGGGGTTAGTACTCCGACATGAGTACGCCGTTATACCCGTTTATACCGCGCCGATCGCGAGAAACTCGAATAGACGATGCCAAGTCCAATTAATACTCAAGTTATGCATAACATCTAAGATTCGTAAGATCAAGCACCAAGATATCCGAGACCTCGATCCGACTGCCAAGCTACCTGTCATACCCTCGTACGCACAGTAGCTGCGCACGTAAAGGGATGCCAAGGCGGTGCGGGTGGTTGGGAATACGTTTGACTGTACTCGACGGAACGGTCCCGCGTAACCGGCTTCTGCTCCCCTCATTTAGAACCATCTGGACAATCAGCTACTTCCATCGGCCGAGGGGTGCCCCCTGGACCCCCAAACTCCCCGTGGGAACCCCGTACTCTACTTACCAATGGGCATGTCTCCAATCATTAACTCCGTACCCCGAGAAACCGGGTGGCGGCCAAGGGGTTCAGATAACAAACTTGTGCGACATGCTTATGGGATGGCAAGATACCCCGTGCGGCTTTTATAAGTCTAGACTGTACCTTCATGCTATTCTAGGACATTCGACCTGTTTCCCAAACTTTGGGGCTCCGGTATTCAGAAAACTCAACAATCACAGAGCGGTAAAAGAAAAAAAGAGTATTGTTATTTATCCAGATTAAGATCAGTTCTGATGGGTGACCAAATGACAGTTACCGCTCTTGCGGATATCATCAGGACGCAAGCTGAGATTCTCGAGACTAGCCTGCCGCGTCATGCTTACACAGACTATCATGGCGATAAAAGCCTCAGCATCGCGAGGTCGAAACTGCTCGAAGCCTGCGACAAGTTGAACCATCTGGTGACTGGTCCTATTGAATGGTTAGTACGATGGAGAGGAATTAGACCATTTCTTTTATACTTATGATCATATTCCGTCTTTACTAGGTACCTAATCTATAGAATTACTTGGCTAACTTTTTCTCAGTACGTCTCAACAAATCACACTCATTGGCCGATGGTATTCTCGCATAGGGAACAATATACACTAACTTCTAGCAGATGTAATGGGAATCGCGCAAGGTCACCGTGTCCACGCAGCGCTACAGTATGTTTGTCACTTCCGGTTAGCATCTTTCGTCCCTGCAGACGGCACGCCCATCACATACGAGGACCTGGCTTGCGCAGCCGGCGTTGATACCTCGCAGTGCACGCGGGTGTTACAGCTTCTCATGACGTACCATATTTTCCGCGAACCAGGTACCCGTATCGTCGCGCATAACCGCAACTCCCGCGTTCTGCTAGACGAGGATACCGGTGCTGCCGTCGAGTGGCTAACCCAGGAGTCTCTTCGGTCTAGCGCTTTCTTTACCGAGACCCGGGCTATGAGCCGAAGATGGTCTACCGGTACGGCTGGTGCTGGTAGTAATGATATCGCTGCTCCCGTTACTATTCAAGGTGTGATGAGTAGTGCTCAACAACAGACGGCACTTGATCTCGCATGTACTGGTATTGAACAACCCACGGCCGGTTTCCTCACGCAGCAGCGTATGAATACCGAGACATCTATGAAGGCAGACCGGTACGCGCGTGCGATGGCAGGTATGGCTAAGCGGCGGCAACTCAGTGTGGACCACTTGGTAACTGGATATGATTGGGATGCGCTTCCGCCTGGCTCAACCGTCGTCGATGTAGGCGGGGGTAGTGGTCACTGCTCGAAAGCAATCGCCTCCTACAGCCCTACGTTAAACTTCGTCGTACAGGATTCAAACACCGCTCTCGCCGAGAAGGTCGACGTAGAGGAGTTAGGGGATCGCTTAAGGTTTATGGCGTACGACTTCTTCGAGCCGCAGACCGTTTCGGGAGATGTCTACCTCTTGAGGCGCATATTGCACCACTACTCGGACCAAGATGCAGTGCGTATCTTGCAAGCACAGCTGTGTGGTGCAAGAAGTAAGCCTGATGCTAGAATCGTGGTTATGGATAATATTGCGATACATAGCGGTACGCTGAGCACGCTTGAAGAACGCAAAACTAGGTACGGTGCCTTGCCCAGCATAAGCAGCTAAGCTAATATTATCTCCTTAGGACCCTTGATATCGCGATGATGGCTCTCTTCAACAGCGTAGAGCGTAATCTTGACGACTGGAAGGAACTATTCAAGATGGCAGATCCGAACTTGAAACTTGTCAAAGTCTCGAAGCCGCTTGGAAGTGCTTTGGCTGTGATGGAGCTTTGGTTGGAGCAGACCTAGTTGACGTCCGTCCCATACAAGCTTGTTTCCTTAGTGCTATCTTTAAGCGTGGGCGTATCTGTTATTGATACGAGACATGGATGTCTACATACTCGAGGTCGGGAAGTTCTTTACACTCATCTTTGATATGAAAGATTAAATGGTTTCCATGGGAACACTCAGATTAATTCAAATGATATTAATGTCTACTTCGTCCTATAACAGTTAAGCAACTAATGATTGATCCTGTTTGCTATTAACAGAAAGGGGTTTTAATTTGCGTCGTCCAGCATGTTCCGCCTACCTGTCTTATGTACGTATTTAACGTGTAATAGGCCTATGATGTTGATCAAGACTTGTATACTTAAGATATCAGATTAGTAGAACTTCATCCTTGATGATTCAAGTATCGTCGAAAAAAATAGAGCGAGTATACACTATATGATCATGATGAACCTAACCTTACTGAGGCCAGGCACGGGTTAGTAGCTACCGTCAGCTTTGTCCTGAGCTATACTATGCATCGTCGTATGTTGATTTCCTTGTAGAAGTCCATTTGGTTATTAGGCACTCGAAAATTCAAGTTTCATACGCACATATAGAGGATAGGTCTCCTAACTCGAGTAATAACTCAGTCTGTAAAGTATCGGATTAAGCGAGCGGTGCTATGACCGAAATACGGCGCTATGTATACGGGTCAGTTCAGGTATATGATGGCGATATCAACTCAGTGCTTACTTCTAGACAACATGCCCATTTCCTCCCACGACCAAGACACTCTCTTAACCTCGTTTAATTACTGCTATATGACTGCATCAGTTCCAAGCAGAATCACTCGTTAGAGCAATTAAGTAATAAGGTCCGCCACGTTCATCGGCATCTCATCAATTTGAGTTGAGTAATATACTTGTCATCCGTTAGCAAAGCACAATATTTGGTAGTGATACTTAGAGTAATACTTACGTTCGATATCTCTAAGGATTCGAACATCTTCGCTTGTGACAAAGTTGATTGCGACGCCCTTCCTGCCAAAACGACCGCTTCGACCGATACGATGGATGTAATTCTCTCGGTTGCTGGGCAAATCGTAGTTGATCACTAAGCTGACCTGTTGGACGTCGATACCGCGAGCCCAAACGTCTGTTGATATTAAAACTCTGCTGTTGCCCTGTCTAAAGTCTTGCATAATGCTATCCCGTTCCTTCTGTGGCATGTCTCCATGCATGCTGCTGACGGTAAAATTGGCCTCGCGCATCTTGTCGGTTAGCCAATCTACCTTTCGTCGGGTGTTGCAGAAGATGACGGCCTGAGTAATGGTGAGAGTGTCGTAGAGGTCGCATAGCGTATCGAACTTCCAGTCCTCCTTTTCGACAGCAATAAAATACTGCTTGAGACCTTCAAGCGTCAACTCGTCACGCTTAACCAGAATACGGACAGGGTCGGTCATGAACTTGGTTGTCATGTCTAGGACATCGTAAGGGAGCGTAGCCGAGACGACAACAACCTGGGTTGCAGGGGGCAGGTATCGATAAACGTCGTAGATCTGCTCACGGAAACCTTGGTTGAGCAACTCGTCTGCCTCATCGAGTACGAGCATCTTGATCTGGCGGGTTCGCAGATGACGGCGGCGAATCATGTCCGCCACACGACCAGGAGTACCGGAGACAATATGCTGGCCGTAGTCAAGTTTTCGGATATCCTCCCCGACGTTTGTTCCGCCAATGCAAGCGTGACATTGGACATTCATATAATCGCCTAGGGCCATCACAACAGACTGGATCTGAGTGGCTAGTTCGCGAGTCGGGGAAAGGACGAGGGCTTGGGTTTCGCGGATCGCAGTATCGATAACTTGAAGCATAGAAATAGAAAATGTAGCAGTCTTTCCGGTACCAGATTGCGCCTGAGCAATAGTGTCGCGCCCCTTACAGATTTGAACAATAGCTCGGGATTGGACAGCAGAGGGAGACTCGTAACCATATGCGTAAATACCACGAAGGAGGTTTTCTATATAAATAGAACGATGGTTAATATTTCCCCGAAGAGAAGAGTTGGCGATATATAATTAGATGGATAGCCTCACCTTTCAATGACATGGACTCAAAGGTTGGGTGAACCGTAACCTCTTTCGAAGTAGAAAATTCCATCTTCTCGTCTGCGCGACGATCGATACCGCCTCCTTCCGCCATGATGAATATTGGGTATGGTATATGTTATATGGAATTGATCTGGTCGCGTGTATTTTGATGTAAAGAAATGCAAACAAGAGCTGATCAATTCGTAGTTGAGGAAATTGAGTTTGATGTTATCCTCAAGAATTTTATGGAGCCTTAGTGCTAAAAACCCTACTAAAATATGCAATAGCAGAATAGCAGCGTAGCTAGAGGTGGTTGACCCACTTGAATGCACGGAAAATGCGCTATCTGAATGTATAAAGTACCTATCATTAGTGCTGTGGCGACGTGAACTTAGGGAACGCGATCTAATTGGTTTTTAACAAATTCAACTTCAATGGAAGCTCTACCAATTTTCGATCAGCTTCATTATCATTCTTTTCCCATGTTGAAATTTTAATCTTCCTCTTACAACATCGATTTAATCACTACGAAGCTTGCAATAGGGTTAGCAGTGGTCAACTAAGTTAAGATGCTGTTAGAAGAGCAAAGGTTCTTACATGAGGACCTCGAACGCCTCGAACAGGGCGTCGCAGATCGAATTGGCGATGAACCTAAACATGTTAGTCCCCTAGATTTACTTATAAGTAACATTTTGCTAACTCCATTCTTCAGATACGAGACCGTCTAGCGAGAGACCATCAAATAGCACAGTTTCTTGATCGTATATCGTCGCAATCTACCAGACTCCTAACTATCTATCGCGATGTGGATGGAACGAGATCACGCGAGGTCCAACAAATTGGAAGTGGTGATCCGATGGAGGAATTCTATAAGCAGCTATCCGATATCAAGAGGTTTCATACCAAGTATCCCAACGAACCCGTCGAGAATCTTGAGCGCGCGTACCGACCTAAAAAAGGACCCGATGCCGAATCCGAACCCAGCATTGTAGATACTCTGTTTACAGGCGAGGAAGCATTCGGCCGTTTCTTCGATCTACATATCTGCCACGAGATGTACCTTAATCTCCCTAACGCGAAAAGATTAAGTTATCTCCAATACCTGGACTCGTTTGATAACTTCGCGCCTGGTGCTGGCGGGCTAAAGAGATCCGAGAAGCTGACCGACCAATACTTCAAATACGTTAATCAGCTCGCTCTAGATCTTGAGGCTTTCATGAGGAAGACGAGGCCGTTGGAAAATATCGACAAGGTGATTACCGACTTCGATAAAGAATTTGATTCTGCTTGGGAACAGGATGAAATTGCGGACTGGAAGGAAGATGAGAACGGAAAGCCTAGCAGCGCTGCGGCGCAGGCATCTGCAGCTGAAGCCGTATGGTGCAGCGATTGCGAGAGAGGGTTCAAGAATGAGAACGTATATAAGGGCCATCTTTCCGGCAAGAAACACGTCAGAGCAGCAGCGGAGCGCGCGCAGAGATTACAAGGCGGGTCTAAAGAGGATGGAAACGAGCTTCACGATACCAGCAATGGAAATACAGCGATTCAACGACTAAAAGAGCGCGCCATCGCAGAAAGGGAATTCCGAGTAAAGCGCCTCGCTAGTGCGATGAGTACCGAACGAAGCGACACAAAGGTGAATGTCGAACGAAAGCAAGGTATGACAGAGCGTGAAAGACAACAGGAACTAGAAAATCTGTTCAGCGCTACAGCGGCTGCGTCGAATCCTAAAGACGCTGAGGATGGAGAAGACAACGATGACGAGGATAAAATCTACAATCCGCTTAAGCTACCACTCGCCTGGGATGGCAAGCCTATTCCATTTTGGCTGTACAAGCTTCACGGTCTCGGTGTCGAGTTCCCCTGCGAGATCTGTGGTAACTTTGTGTATATGGGAAGGAGAGCTTTCGACAAGCACTTTAACGAGGCGCGTCATATCTACGGCCTGAAATGTTTAGGAATCACGAACACGAGCCTCTTCCGAGACATTATAGGAATCGACGAGGCGCTAAGGTTATGGGAGAAGATACAAAAGGAAAAGCGCAAGGATAAGGTAGATGACGGGAGCGTGGTGCAGATGGAAGATGCCGAAGGTAATGTCATGCCCGAGAAGGTCTACTATGATTTGCAGAAGCAGGGTCTGTTGTAAAGTATGTGTAATGAATAATATCTAGCAGCATTCAATTGCTGCGTGGTTAGTAATGGCGTACTATATAGTAAGATATCTAGGTAAGATGGTCTATTGAATCGTACGTCTGAGAGTATTACTATTTACTCGTTAGGAAGAAGATGGTTCTGTTAAAGTCCATAGCCATCAGTTGATCAGTGTCCGTATAATGTATCCAAGTACCTTATTGTATGTTGAATTGGTTAGTTCGTACAACCCGGTTTGTTAACCCCACACCCCACTAGTTTAAACCTTATCTCTCAATGTTTTGACTACAAAGTACAGTGACGTCTTCAGGGCTGGACAACGTAAATAATGAAGCCTTCTTTAAGTATTCGTAGAACGCCTACCAGAATTTATGACGGCAATAAAATCAGTAGGATCTATTGAATTGGCTACGTGTGATAGATATGAAATCGGTACCTTGCTACAGGTGTCTATCTCATCTCACTAGAAATTCAAACACTCATTATTAAGACGCGCCAAACGGCAAAGAAATGTCTACCTTATCGAAACCAATCCCTCCATTATATACCGTCTATATATTACGTTCGACCGTCCGCAATGCCTCGTTATATATTGGCTCGACTCCTAATCCACCACGGCGGCTTAAGCAACACAACGGTGATGTCAAAGGTGGCGCCGCACGCACAGCGAAGAGCAAGCTGAGGCCGTGGGAGATGGTCGGTCTCGTATCAGGATTCCCTGGAATGGTAGCTGCCTTGAAATTTGAGTATGCAATCTAAGTTGGAGAGTCGTTGTGTTTCTCATGTGCAAGCTGACTGTTCCCCAGATGGGCTCTTACAAATCCTCACGTATCACTACATATTCCATCTACATCTCGGATATCTGCTGCAGCGGGCAGGAAGCGGAATGGCCATCCTAAGCGTCCACGGCATACCCTAACATCTATACTATCGAACCTGCATCTTCTCCTACGTGTTCCTAGTTTCTCAAGATGGCCTCTAAATTTACACTTCTTCGTACCTGAGGTTCACGAGGCATGGAATAAATGGTGTACTACGGTAGATGAGCCTCTTCGGGATACAATTCAGGTGTTAACCGATTTCAACCCGGCGAGAACGAATCAGGGAGATAGTGAGAGTTCTGACACTGAGAATGAGGTAGAACAGCTTTGGGGCATCCATGCTCTGCCGCTCGACTACGCTCCGATGAAAACTTATGTAATGAAGACACAGTCTATATATGACTTTGAGAGGGAAGGTGACTGCATAGTCTGTCAAGAGCAACTTGATCCAGGCAAGGGCCTCTATGCAACATGCTCAAATATAGATTGCGAGGGTACCGGGCACATATCATGCTGGAGTAGACACCTACTTGGAAAAGAAGCCGACGAAGACATCATACCAATATCTGGACGATGTCCAAGATGCAAAGGGGAAGTAGTATGGGGTGATCTCATGAAGGAGATGAGCTTGAGGATAAGAGGGCCTAAGGAGGTTGAGAAGCTGCTTAAGAAACCTAGAAAACGAAAGACACAAGCTGAGTCTAATATATAAAATTGCATTCCTGTTATAGACTTTTGTAGACCCCCGAATTCTATAGCAAAGCGTTAGGTGATATCATTTTATTTGAATATAAGCAAATTTCAATATTTGTAACTTTGTAACTGACGATAAAATTTATCGTTTCCTCTGCTAATATTATATTCGTACCCTTGATAATAAACCCGAGTGTGTACGACGCGACAAAATACCTCGAATAGGTACGATGATAGAGGCGTGCTATCCCCCGCAAAAAGCAGACCCCCTTTTTACCCTTTTTATGACCCAAAACTGTTCGCTACTCGGCTACGCTGGACCTTTCCCATCTGTGAGTGCTCGCGTGGTGTTCCCGTCATGCAGGGCAGGGATCTAGATCCATATTTTCAAACGTCACTCCTCTACTATTGGTTCGTTAGACGACTCATTGGCCCTGATCCTTGTAAGTTTGTCTGCGAATATCAATTCAATTTTTTTTTCTTTCCTTCTTTTAAACTGGCGCAGGTTGACCCGGCAGGTTGACCAACCTCGCCGACCAATTCTCCAACAGCGAATCCAAAGAGTTGATTTCGACCTCTCGGACCGCAGAATATCTCGGCTATGACTAGTGCTTAGAATCCCCGCACAACGAGCATTTATCAGGTCATTGATGCAAAACAGGTTTAACAAGACGAATAATACATATGAGGAGTATAATAAACGGGTAAAGAAATTAAAAGAGCAAACAGCCACAAAACAAAGCCACCGAATATACGCGTAGGATCAACATTGGTACTACCTATCAAGTAGAGTTACGTATTCTTTCGGCGTAATCCGTGCAGCCTCGTTCCAATTCATGGGGAACCAGATGACATGCATTTGATATTATTTAGGTACCTACCTTCCACACTGGGTTCGATTCTTACTTTTTAACCGTCGGCTGCGATATTTCCTATAGAATTTCATTGCTCTGTTTTTCTTCTTGCTTTGACGTTGAGCAGGTAATGTACCGCGGATCATTCGGTCTAAGCAATCCCGACAATTTGATTCCGGGTTGTCTCCGATTTCTACACTCGATTATAGATCTCACGATCCTGAGATGATATACACCGACAATCTGAGATTATCTAAGCCTAGGATCTATAACACCTATATATATGTAAATGGGTTGTCGCACTAATATTATAATACGTAGGTAGAGAGTTAATATCAAACATAGGTTTAGATATGTACCTGTATAATTCATAGCGTGACCGCATGTTCATAGCTCTAGTAACTTGGCCGTATAAAGTTTGCGCATCGTACCATCCACCCCATCTCTTTGACTTTAAGAGTGTCAGCCTGCATTCATTTCTTGCGCATAAGCTATATTGGGCAAATATGACAGAACTTGCACCTCCGGAACAAGCGCTAATATTCAAGCCTACATGTATATACCTAACCTAACCTATATAAAGTTCATAACACCGTCCCTTCGTTGTCAAAGCGAGTGAAAATGCGTAACAGGTTATATGATCGGTCTAGCTCGGTTTACGAGGAGGCGGTGGCCGTAGATCTCAAGACGTCGTCACATGGTTTTATTCACTTCGCACTGGGCAAATTTATGCGAAGAGGGAGGAAAATGGAAATTGAAATGAGAATTAAAACTTAAAGGCGATGTTAGATGGAATGGAACATTCATAAAGTCTGCTGTTAGGTATATATACCTCACATATAATACTATAATATAGCTATACGCTGGTACAAGTACGCACGTTCAGCGCGCCGCGGCGTTAGATTTGCAGCGGTATACCTGATGCGGAACCGTATTAGATGGGAAGTTCGATGTATACAGGTAACTATACAAAATGAAGTCTATCTAAACCCTGCACAAAAAGTACGTATCTGTAGGTACATATAGTGGCTTGGATCCACTTTGTTCTTTAAATGGGTCCTGGGTACAAAATCCCGACGACAGCTACGAGTCGCATCCACCCACATCATATCCACTTCTGCCTCTTCTTTCTACTCTTCCAATCCAAATCTACATACTGTCCAAGCCGCGCCTGCGTAACCCCCCCTGTCCCGTTTCTCTCTTCTCTGTTTTAAACGGAAGTAAAGAGGCTTTTGAGTAACCTGACCACCCACGGTTCCACCGTACCAAACAGACCTAACTTACCCATTCCGCTCCATCCAATCTGCTAGTACGTTTTCCGTTCTACTTACACGACTATTGTTCATACCTTCCACCCATATCCCATATCTCCATACTTGACATCTCAAAACTAAACTTCCCTCTTCTCAATCTAATATGCAACCTTCCTCAACTTAACCATCCCCCCCCTCTAATTCTCACTTATTAGAAAACGAACCTTCTCATTCACCAACTCATTGAGTGTCATATCTGTTCGGCTTTTCATATTTGGCCACTAATGATTCTACTAATTTAGCAATTGGGAATATTCGAGGTTGCGCCGTGGCGGTTGAGGTGCGATACAGAGAAGGACACCGGATCGGCAGCACTCTTTTACCTGATTTGTACTTGATCAAATTAAAATACCCTGGTTGTATATTCTGATTAGGGTCTCATACTCACCTCACTTCTTGAGCACGTATCGCGGTTTTCTACTACGTCTACACGGTACCGACACCCCACACGATCCGAACGACGATATCTTGTCGAGCAGCATTTCGCCTCTTCGACGCTAACCACCTCCTGCTATATTCAGCGGTGGCTCCATCACGACTCTAATAAGACATTCATGCGATGCACCTACAGCTTACCCTTCTTGTGACAGCCTCACACTTCGCACCACTTGGCGGTGGTCGGCATACGTAGCCTACTATTACTTACTCTGGGACTGTTGGAAACATCGTCCGAATCAACCTTCCAGCGTTATTTGCACGTCGTGAATCATGGTTTCTACCCCCTCCGTCAGCCATAACGGCGGCGTTGGAGGTGTCAATAGTGCAAATGCAAGCTCGAGAGCTTCGCCTGCAGTCGGCGCCGCCAATTCCGCAGGTCATACCTCGACGTCCAATGGCGCGAAATCCAAGACGCAGGTCAACTCGAATGGCTATCACCCAACCAACCCCCCAGTCCCTCTCAGCTCGATGCGTAGTGCCCCGCTAGACCTCACATCGGTCGAGAGAAGAGGTCAACCTACAGCCGGCCGGGAGTCATCTAAGCAAAATAGGTTGTACGGGCTCGAGGAAGCACCAACCTACCGACCAACCGAAGAAGAATGGAAAGATCCGTTCGAGTACGTCCGCAAGATTACTCCCGAAGCCCGCAAGTACGGTATCTGCAAGGTCATCCCTCCCGACTCGTGGAACCCCGATTTCGCGATTGATACCGAGGTGAGTCTATAAATATCTCAATCGGTACGATGGGAGCATATTACGGTGGTTTTCCATCTTATAGAATCTACGTATCTCGATAGCGTCTCGATTCGTTACTGATAGTCTACAGAAATTCCATTTTAGGACGCGAAAGCAGGAGTTGAATTCAGTCGACGGCCGTGAGTCATCCGTGGCGAGATACTCCAACTGTCCTCGTGGCCTTTGTCATTAACACGTAGATGCTAGGTACGCGAGCGAATCTAACCTATCTGGACGCCCTTGCAAAATACCATAAGCAGCAAGGAACCAACCTGAACCGATTACCATACGTGGATAAGAAACCACTCGACCTATATAAGCTTAAGAAAGCCGTCGAATCTCGCGGGGGGTTTGAAAAGGTCTGCAAGACAAAGAAATGGGCGGAAATTGGTAGAGATCTGGGTTACAGCGGGAAGATAATGTCGTCACTATCGACGTCTCTCAAGAACTCGTACGATCGATGGCTTACCCCGTACGAGAATTACCTACGCCAAGCAAAACCGGGAGTCTATCAACAGCTGGAGTACGAATATGGCGGGCCCTTAACTCCCAGCCCAGCGCCTAGTCCGATAAAGAGGTCGGCTATGAATACGCCGTCTAGCCTGCGGGCAGAATCGCCTGCTCGGCACGCGAGCGATATTCTCCAGCAGAGTCTAAATGTCCCGAAGCAAGAAATCGACCGCGATACTATTATGGCGGATGCGCCGGCCGTTACTTCGCAACCTTCGTCCGGCGGGTTTACCGCTATCAACTCTGGTGGTTTTACGGCGGTGAATAGCGGATTTACAAGTGTGAATCGACCTACCCCAACGGATCCCAAAGGCTTCACTCCGCCCCCGAAGCATCATGGAAGCCCACATCTATCTGCTAAAAATACCCCAGATTTCCGACCGTCCGGACTCGGCCCCGCCACGGCCCTAAAGCGTCAACTTAGCTCCGACAGTTTAGATTCGGCAAAAAAGGACAACGGTACGGATAGAGACGATTCAGGGAATGGTAGTAGAAGGAGTAAAAGGCTCAAGAAAGGTACGTATTTTCTAGTAGTGATCCCTTTACTATTCTCAATTCATCTACTCATCTACTATCCAAATCCTTATATATGCTTTCCCTTTTCTATCGCTTCATGAGTTTAAACTCAACCTCCATATTATCATCATGATATCGCTCCCTGCTTGTTGCGTTTACCTTCGGCGTTAATGTCGTATCATTTCCTTTGTGGTGTGTTCTCCATTAGTGGGGCCGCAATTGTGCAGGGTCTCAATTATGCGCCTTGCCGTGCAGCAATGCACAACAGGGGCGGAGACCTTACAATGGCTGTTCTGGTCCTTTGAAGTCGATGATTGGTTCGATCTCTTGTGAAACTAATGCAGGTCGGCCTCTAGAAAACGTCCCTACCGTGGCTGGTTCGCATATGTCAGTATTCCGACCTTCGGCTCCTAGAATACCAGTCCCCCGGGACGAATCGACAAGTCCTAGCGATGTAAGCATTTTTGTTCCTGTTGTGCGTAGTATTTTTGTTGACAGTCTATAGAAATGCGAGGTATGTGGTAAAGGTGACGAGGCGGGCCACATAGCCGTGTGCGAATCCTGCGACCACGGATATCACGGTGCTTGTTTAGACCCCCCTATCAAGCATAAACCTGATACCGAGTGGAATTGTCATCGATGTCTCGTCGGCG